AAAACATCTGTCAGCTGCTTCTGAGTGCTACAGTGCAGAACTTCTAACACTCCCGTCTGCACTTGACTTCTCAGAAAATGATACTTCGTCTCAATATGCTTGCTTCTTCCATGCAGCACTGGATTCTTGGCAAGATTGATTGCAGACTTGTTATCAATTAACAACTTCAAAGGTTTCTCTATCTCAATCTTTAAATCCTGCAGAAAATTCAGAAGCCAAACAACTTGACATGCAGCTACAGCACCTACAATGTATTCAGCTTCACACGTTGACAGAGTCACAACAGGCTGTTTCTTGGAACTCCAAGAAATTGGACCTCCCAGAAATTTGAACAAGTAACCAGAAGTACTCTTTCTGTCAACTCTGTCTCCACACCCGTCAGAATCAGAATAACTCATTAATTCTGGCTCTGTCTTTCTTCCAGAAGGAAATAGCACTCCATATTTCAGAGTTCCTTTGATATACCTCAGAATCCTGACAGCAGCTTGGTAATGAGACCGCTTTGGTTTACTCATGAATCTGCTGACCATTCCAACTGCATAACAAATATCAGGTCTGGTATTGCACAAGTACCTAAGAGAACCAACCAACTGCTTGAAGGTTGTAGTATCCACAGAATCACCATCAGAATCAAAATCTAATTTATGATTGGTTTCTGATGGTGTCACAGCAACTTTGCAATTCTACAGCTTAAATCTCTTCAGAAGCTCAAGTTCATACTTCAGCTGATGTAGAATGATACCCTTCTTTGAGTACAGAATCTCCATTCCTAGAAAGTATACCATATTTCCCAGATCTGTCATCTCAAATTCATTCATTAGAATTTCTTTGAACTTGATTATATCTTCTGGACAACTTCTTGTTAGCAATATGTCATCAACATATAGACACACCAGAATCATATTGCCACTAGAATGCTGCACATACACGCCATATTCCATCTCACATTTCTGAAACTTCTGCCTATTGAAAAACGAATCATTTTCAGATTCCAAGCTCTGGGCGCTTGTTTCAGTCCATACAAGGCTTTATGTAACTCGTATACCATCCCTTCCTGATTCTTTTTCACAAATCCAGGAGGTTGTGACACATATACCTCTTCTTGTAACAGACCATTCAGAAATGCAAACTTCACATCCAGATGTATCAAAGGCCAATTTCTGGTTACAGCTAAAGCAATCACCAGTCTGATTGTTTCGTGTCTAGCTACAGGCGCAAACACCTTAAAGTAATCTAGCCCAGGTTTATGAAGAAAACCTCTATCCACTAGTCTCGCTTTGTGTTTGCCAATTGACCCATCTGGGTTAAGCTTCACCTTGAAAACTCATCTGATACTGATGGATTTCTTCTTTTCTGGAAGCTTCGTCAGCTTCCAAGTTTTGTTTCTTTCAATAGCCTCAAGTTCTTCCTTCATGGCATTCAACCATACTTTCTTCTTGATATCTTCTTCAATACCCACTGGTTCAGAATCTACTAACATGGCACACTGAATGAATTCTCTTTCATAATCTACTTCAGTGTCATGCAACATGCTAAAATCTGCAAACCTACTTGGTATTTGTCTGATTCTCTGTGGCCTTTGAACTTGTTCTGAAGCTTCTCTAGAACTCAGAACAATGCTAGATTCTGGACTTGTCCAGAACTACTTCCTTCAGAATTACCACCTTCAGAGTTACTCCTGGAAGCTTGTCCTCCAGACCCTATGTCTTCAGAGTTTTCCCTTCCAAAAATATAATCACCACCAGATTTTGGATCATTATCAGAATCTGGATCAGAATCAGATTCACTATCAGAATCTCCATGAGATTCTGACTCATCTTCAGAGTCTTCAGATTCATCTTCTGACCCTGACTCGTCTTCAGAAATTTATGAAGAATCTTCAGAAACTAACTCTGGTGTTGCCGCTACACCAAAAACTGATTGAAGTTTGTTCCAATCCTATGTTTCCGACTCTTTCATAATAACGTCTCTATTGATTTCAACTTTGTTGGTTTCTGGACAATAAAGCTTATAATCACCTGTACTGTGGTATCCCACCAGTAACATTACTTTGCGTTTATCATCCAGTTTCCATCTTCTAGCTTTTGGAACGTGTTTGTAGCATACTGAACCAAACACCCTCAGATGGCTAACACTTTTCTTGTCTCCAGTCCATTTTTCTAAAGAAAAAATTTCCTTCAGCTTCTTCGTTGGACACCTATTCAGAACATATGTTGATGTGGCAACAACTTCTCCCCCATAACATGTGAGGTAGCTTCTTCTCTTTCAGCATACTTCTGGTCATATCAAGTAAAGTTCTGTTTCTTCTTTCAGCAAGACTATTGTGCTGAGGAGTATATGGAGCAATAATTTCATGTTCTATTCCATTCTCCTCACAGAACTTTTGGAACTCTGTAGAGTTATACTCACCTCCACCATCCGTTCTCAGAATCTTCAGCTTCTGACCACTCTGCTTCTCAGCATTCACCTTGAACTTCTGGAATTCAGTAAACACTTCATGTTTGAACTTAATGAGTGTTACTCATGTCATTCTTGTGAACTTATCCACAAAAGACATAAAATATTTATTTCCTTCAAGTGAAGATACTGGAAATGGTCCACACACATCAAAATGTACTACTCCCAAAGCATGCTTTGCTCTAGGGGCTACTTCTGATGCAAATGGCAATCTGGGTTGCTTACCTTTCATGCATATCTCATATGACTTATAAGGCTTCACAATCTTCAAAATGTCATATACAAGCTTCTTAGAACTTAGACGCCCTAAGATTCTATAGTTCAAGTGCCCCAACCTCTTGTGCCACAACTTACTGTCACCTTCAGCGCCTCTTGTACTAAGACACTCTACTTCAGTTGTTTCTACATTCACCTTGAATGTTCTAATTCTTCCCTGCTTAGACTTTATAATCAACTTCTGATTAGAATCATACAATGTTAAGAAGTTGTCCTTCATAACCACTGATAAATATTTCTCAATGAGCTGACCCACACTCATCAGATTGATTTTAATTCCAGGAACATACCAAACATCTTTGATCAGAATGTTTTTTCCATTCTTCACTCTGACTCTGACATTTCCCATACCTTCTGCATTAAGATACTTATCATCAGCATATCTGATCTTTGTTCTCCTTCTGGAGTCAAAGTCTATCAGCCATTGTTTGTTCCCAGTCAAGTGGTTTGAACAGCCAGTGTCCATATACCACCAATCTTCTGAACACTTTCCATCAGAATCAGAAGCCATCAGTAGCACAGGTTCATCATCAGAATCTCCTCTGGCTATATTTACTTCTTCTAATTTCCTTCCTCTGTTTCTACAATCTTTGGCAAAATGGCCAAACTGTTTACAACAGTAACATTGAACGTTCTTCTTGTCATACCTTTCATTTCCCTTATGATATTTCTTTTCATCAGAAGTTGAGGTTTCTGACTTCTGGAATTTATCACCATGTCTATTCTGCTTCTGGTCCTTCTTGACAAAAGAAGCCTTCAGAGCTTGCTCCACTTCCCTCTCAGAAGTTCTTTCAGTCAAACGTAACTCCCGCGCTTCTAGACTGCTTTGCAACTCTTCTATTCTCATGGTTTCCAGATTTTTAGAATGTTCAATAGAGATAACAATGTAATCAAACTGAGGAGTAAGTGACCTCAGAATCTTCTCTATGATTACCTGTTCAGAAAGTGTTTCTCCATAAACTTTCATCTCATTAGTGATCAGAATCATTTTGGAGATGTACTCAGAAACTTTTTCACTGTTCTTCATGTTGAGATTCTCATATTGCTTACGCAGGGACTGAAGCTTCACCTTCTTCACTGACGCGTCACCACCGCAACATCTGACCAGTATATCCCATGCCTCTTTCGATGTCGTCGAATTAACAATCTTCTCAAACACACTTTCATTCACACACTGATGGATATAGAACAGAGCTTTCTGATCCCTCTTCTCCGCAGCTCTTTCTGCAGATCTTTGTTCTTCAGTAACATCTGCCTGCAACTGGAACATAACCAATGGTAACAAGATCCAGAACATCCTGAGCGCCAAACAACACACGCATCTGTAGCATCCATCTGTTCCAGCTTTTGCCATAAAAAATTGGAAGTTTAGTGTTCAAACTACTGCCTCCACTTATCTTAAACTTTGCACAAATCTCAGATCTCAGATTCTCACTCAGTGTTTCCCAAACCCACAGAATCAGTGTGATTCTGTTCAGATTTTTGTTCAAGATTCAACAGAAATCAGGAACCAAAAATCAAACACACAGCTCACTATCAGTCGTGTTTCCCAGAATTTCAGAATAAACCAAGAGCTCTAGATACCAATTACCAATTTTTTGGTGCAAGGTGATGAAATTGAGGAAGAAAAGAGAAAATGATAAATGCTATAAAGCTGCCACAAATGATTGAAAGATGATTGATTGTATTTAATAAAACCTAGTACAACTATTTATACACAAAAATAGTAAAAATAAGAATGCCACATAGACCCTAAAAAAATCTAAAAATGGCAAATTACCCTCTAGTACGGATAAGTATTTTTTTGAATAAGTGCAAAACGCTAAAATCCAAAAACCACTCAGAATTTAAAACAACCAGTTAAAGTATGACATGTGTTACTTTATCTTCATTCTTGCCACACGTCCACTTGTGATTGGATCAAACAGTTATCCCCAAATTTTAAGAGTTTATATATATACTATTCACCCACGTTTTAAATGGGGGACACTGTTGCGTTGCGGTCCCATAAACACTTTTACGACTTCTATCAGTATAGTATAGACGTTGTAACACTGATTATAACTGTAATGGTTTGAATTAATTTTAGTTTATTTTTTATCATAAAAATATCGAATAATAGTATGAAATAAAATTTTGTAGCTTTCATTTTCTAAATAATAAAAACGTTTTTTAAAAGTTAGTACAACCTTAGCATAAAACCTCAATAAAAGGGTTACTCAATTGACGTACAGCAACCAAACCAGCTAAACACAAAAAAACACAGTATGAGTTCCAAAATGCAAACACTGATGTTTTTGTTAGTCTTAACAATATCCTCATTCACTGTCAAAGCATCACCAAGTGATGCCGGCATTGCCATCTACTGGGGTCAAAACCTAGGAGATGGCTCATTGTCTTCAACATGTAACACTGGTAACTACAAGATTGTACTCTTAGCTTTCCTCAATGTCTTTGGAGCAGGAAGAACTCCAATTTGGAACTTTGCTGGCCATTGTGGTGACTGGAGTCCATGCACAAAACTCGAACCCGAAATAAATTATTGTCAACAAAAAGGTATCAAAGTTCTCCTTTCCCTTGGAGGTGCTATTGGACCATACTCCCTTAGCTCACCAAATGATGCTAAAGTTGTTGGTGACTATCTATATACTAACTTCCTTAGTGGCCAATTTGGTCCTCTAGGAAGCGTTACCTTAGATGGTATTGATTTTGATATTGAAGGAGGTTCAAATCTTTATTGGGATGACCTTGCTAGACACCTTAACAATATAAGACAACAAAACAGGTACTTTTACTTGTCTGCTGCACCACAATGTTTCATGCCAGATTACTATCTAGACAAAGCTATCAAAACGGGGTTATTTGATTATGTATTTGTTCAATTCTACAATAACCCTCCATGCCAATATAACATAGCAACTTCTGATGCTACATTGCTTTTACAATCATGGAATGCTTGGACATCGTTGGTTCTACCAAATAATACAGTTTTCTTGGGATTACCAGCATCACCTAATGCAGCTCCTAGTGGTGGTTATATACCACCGGTTGATCTTCTTACTAAGGTTCTTCCTTTCATTAAACATACTCCTAACTATGGAGGAGTTATGCTTTGGGATAGATTCAATGATGTTGGAAATAATTACAGCAATCAGATAAAGGTGTATCTTATAAAATCTGCTCTTCAATTTGTGACACAAGTTTCCGAAGCAATAGCCGCATCTGTCTCCACGGCTTTGAACGCCTTGTTGCCAAATTAAATCATACCTGTATGTGTAATGAATAAGAGTGAACTTTGATCCTCTACAGCCAGCTTTATGATGGCTGTATACCAGTAGACTAAGAAATAAAAAATGGCGATACTTATTATGGTAAGTATCTACTTACTCTTTAATTTTCTTGGTGTTCATGTAACCTAAGGAACCAAAGCATCTTATCCTATCTTATGTTAAAAATATCAATAACCTTATCATAAGTTGTTGTTTTTTTGTGTTAATTTATCATTTCTGTTCATACAAACACAACGGTTATATTATAGTGTCAAGTCAATTTAAATCCATTATTGTTAATACAATAATTATTTTGACTTTTATAACGGTTATATAGTATGAGTTATTTTGGCATTAATTAGAAGTCTATAATACTATAAGGAAAATAAATTGGCAAGTCTATTGTTCTAAGCTTTTCATTTAACGTTAAAAAAAGTTCCAACCAAGTAAGAATTAATTATCCATCATAAAGTATAATATATAATAATTTAGTGAAAAATAGATAGTCATTCAGACATGTATATAATTAAAATATTTGATTATTGATTTTAAGAATATCTAAATCCATTGAGAAATGTCTTATTGACCGTATTTCTGAATGTTAAGAGACCAACGACGAATATTTAATGGATGGTGTGGTTCTTACTCAATCTATACTCCTACTATGAATACTCTTTAAATAAAGAGAATAGATAAACTGCTTGTGTATGATATATTGAAAATTATAATTTATTTATAAAATGGTAGATAATTAGGGTAACAATTTTTTCGAAATAGATTAGAGATTCACTCATATTTAAATTCATATTCAATTAATTAATTAATTTTTATATAAAATTTAATTAATCTTTTAACTTTATTTAATAACTTAATTATTTAATGCACTTAATTTGATAAAATAATTAATACAACTAAAATATATACTCATATAATAATTATTAAAATATTAAATAATATTAAAAAATATTCTAACAATCTCTCACTTAAAAGATACTATGTCTTAATAATTATATCAGTTCTTTAGGTGCGCATCAAAATGCTATTTATCTTTAGATTTCAATTTTATAATTTGGTCCACCTCATACATCAATAATAAGACAATCGCGGTTATCGTCACTTGAGAAACTCTAACTTCTCTCTAACTTTTTGTCAAAATAACTTCAACAAGTCTCCATCATCACTACAAGAAAAAGGCTCTCCAGTCACGTGATTTTTATGTGGTTAAAAAAAGCCAGTTGCGACGTGAAAATCACGTGGCAACATGTTTTACTAATAAAATAAAGAAGTTTGGTGGTTGCCAGTCTTTTTTTATAAAAAAAATATGTTGCAACGTGGGATTCACGTCGCTACTAAAAATACAATAAAAAATAATTTAATTGCTCTAACGTTCAGATGGTTGTCATTTTGAAATTTTGAAAAAGTAAGTTGCGACGTGTTATTCACGTCGCAACATTTAAGAGGGAAAAATTAAATCATTACAGACTGGCGTGTTCAGGCTTTGAAGGCATGTGAAGAAAGAGAATATAACTGTTGGGATGGTGTTGGCTAAAGATTTTGATGATACAGTTCGAAACGAAGCAAGTTGGATGTTTCGTTAGAATAAAGCAAGATGTTACGGTTCGGAATGGTAGAAGCAGTTCTTCGAACGAACATGTCAAAGCTCGAAGCTTCGAGTGACAGTTGTGAAGATATATTTAAAAGAAGCCTCGAAGTGGTAACGAGACTGTGTTTAAGAAATGAGTTCGAAGCGAAGAGTGCCAAAACATTTGAAATTCAAACGCAAGCGGGATGTTCGAAATTTAAATATATACGCGCTGGAGCGTTCGAAGACGCGTGGAAGCCAGAGAGGAGCAGTGCTCTGCATGTTCTGAACGTGGCAGAATCTTATAGGCAAGACCGTTATGGTCGAAGTAGTATAAATAGAAGTCTTAGTACTAGGATTTCGTGTGTCATATCTATTGTACAAAATTCAGTAAACATTCAAAATACCACATGGCTAGGGAAACGAATGCTCGAACAATGTACGTATGATAACACCAAATATTTATAATTCAGTAAAACTCTTTATCTTTTCCAGTTTATCTTTTATCTTCATGTCAGTGTCATTCAAAAACCTTTGCATTCAAAGTCATTTACTGATTTCTCGCATTTAAACGCTTTCCTTCTATTTCGAATCCTTTACATTTCAGAAACTCTTTTACATTTTCATGCTTTTATATTCGTGCTTTTTATTAAAGTCTTCATATTTCAAAGTCACTTACTTGTTTCTGCACGTAAACATTTCTTTGCAATCGAATCTTTATTCATTCAATTCAGTTTCGTATATCTTTATTTGATTATGTCATTAGATCCTTTTAATATGGTAATCGAAGTGAGTTGAACGCCTACAAAACATTCCAAATACAAATCCTAACTATGAATATCAGTTTTACAATTAGAGTTTTCCAAACGACCAATACCCCATAGGATCAATCTAGTCGATCCTGCAAGTTACCAGAGAGATTAAATAACAGTCATTAAGATTATTTGATAGTTTGGAGGACTAGCGGTTGTTTACCAGAAATCACTGTAAACAAATTGACATGCCCAGTGGGACCGTCATTGGTCGTTACGAAATTTAGAACAAAGTAAAGATTGTTGGGACATAACCATTGTGAAAGTACTTTTTGAGTGATAAGTTCGTTGTTATATGAACCTTAGAAGTGGTAGAATAACCAATAGCAATCAACCCTTACCCAGAAGAAAACATAATAGCAAGATGTCTAATCCAAACAATCAACAAGGGGAACAAAATATCCCACATGCAACAGACACTAATATGTCCGCTTCGACGGGAACATCTAATGCGATCCCTTCGAACGCACAGTCTGTTGCATCTTCTACCAGTAGTGTAGCCACGAATGGAACAAGTGGCATGTCGACTAACAGCTCGATCCTAGGAAATACAGGAACCATTGGTTATCCTGGGGGATTCGTCCCACCATCAGGGACACAAACCCATTTCGCCACCCCACTAATTAGACCACCCAGTTTCGATGGTAACAGACACAGAAATTCCTCTTATGGGATGCCAACATCTTTTATGGCGGGTCTGCACACTTCGACATCGAATACGTCACCACAATTAGGGTCTGGATCTGGGACTAATCAATTTATGACAAATAACCAAGGGTCAGTGGGGTATAGTGCAATGCCTATCTTAACCACAGAAAATCAGTTGGCCTTTAGGCAATTAATGGATGACAGTAACCATAATATGATAGGAGTGTTAGCGCAAACTATGCAAGAGATCTTTGCCCCAATAGTACAAAATGTAACTGTGACAAACAGAGAAAACGCGGATAACATGAGTCGAATAGCAGATTTTTTTGCTCCCCCAGAAAGGCGTAGGCAGAATCAGGTGGGAGTTCGAGGAAACGTACCTGTCATAGAACAAGTTGCTGATGACCCACCCTATAGACCAGCCAGAGAGGGGGTTAATTTGGGGGAAAGGGCACAAAGGTTAGAAGCCCCAATGATTCAAGGCCCACAAAGGGAAATTATAGAACCAGGGGCAAGGATCGAAAGGTTAGAAGTCCCAGAGTTTCGAGAAGAACAACCTAGAGGAGTTATCATGGTGGGTCGAAATCAAGATGCTGATGCAGTCGTTCACATAATTCGAAATGATAACATCTTGGCAGAAAATAATTTAACCACCATGATAGAGAGAATCATGGCCCAAAATAGCCTCAATACAGGAATTAGAAGGCCAAATTATGCCTCTTCTATATTAGATTACATAATGCATACTGATTTACCGAGGGGATATAAAGTCCCTAAGTTTACAAAGTTTGCTGGAGATACCAATGAATCAACAGTCGAACACATAGCCAGGTATCTAACCGAAGCAGGAGATATAGCAAATAATGAAGACCTTAGGATCAAATATTTCCCAAGTTCCCTAACTAAGAACGCTTTCACATGGTTCACCACTTTGCCTCCTGGGTCCATAGATACTTGGGCTCTGTTGGAGAGATTATTCCATGAACAGTTCTACATGGGACAATCTAAAATAAGTCTGAAGGAACTAGCCAGTGTTAAGAGGAAATTCACTGAACCCATAGATGACTATCTGAATAGGTTCAGACTCTTGAAATCTAGATGTTTCACAGTAGTTCCTGAACATGAGTTAGTCGAAATGGTTGCTGGCGGCCTGGATTACTCTATTCGAAAGAAATTAGATACACAATACTTGAGGGACATGGCTCAATTAGCCGATAGGGTTCGACAAGTCGAAAGACTAAAGGCTGAAAAGGCCCGAGTTTTTAAAAATAACAAGAAAGAAAGGGTCTCCTATGTTGGAGTTGAGGAAGCAGAAGATTACCCTGAATTCGAAGAGGTCGAAATTGATCTCGCTGAATTGAAACAGGCTCCACCTTACTCTTGTAAATTATTAGTTCCCACAAAAGGGAAAGAAATTGTTGAAAATGAGAAAAGTGACAAATTCCCAAAGAAGGTTTATACTTTTGACATAACAAAGTGTGACGAGATTTTTGATTTGCTTGTCAAAGATGGCCAACTCATTGTGCCATCGAACGTCAAAATACCTCCTTTAGATCAAAGGAAGAAAAGAGGATTTTGTAAGTATCATAGTTTCCTAGGTCACAAAACCTCACAGTGTTTTCTTTTCAGGGATCTAATTCAAAATGCAATTAAGGATGGCAGACTGAAATTCGCTGACAAACCAAAAATGAAAGTAGATGAAGATCCTTTGGATGTCGCAGACACCAATTACTCCGAGCCTGTATGCATTGGAGAAATCAATATGGTGGAAGCAGATCAAGATGACACTCCATTAGGAGAGAAAGGCACTGAGAATGAAAACTGGGTGTTAGTCGAAGTCAACAAGGGGGTCACTGAGGACGTCCACAAGCAACTAGAGGCTTCGATCGAAGCAGTACCTCTGGCTGCTTCGAAAGAGATCCAGGCTACTGAAGGCCAGGAGAACCAAA